ATTACGTGCCATTATACAACGTACCCACTCACCTGATTAGCTGGTACTAGGAGTACGAATTAATCAGCGAATGTTGAACTTCACACGTTTGCCTGATAACATGGCCCCACAATAATTAGTTCTAAGTTTCCGAGCAGAAAAAAAGACATTTCAATGGCTGAATATTTAATACTTCGTGACCCTCTTCCTAAGCAAGGGAAGACTTCCGGTTAAAGTAAACATCAGGTCGAATGGAACAATGATGCTAAAATAGATTAATTAATATCTTATTAGAATGTGACTGAAGGCCGTAAAACCCTTCTCACTAACACACCAGGGGACAATCGTGTACTGAAGTTCAGTCTCTTAATGTCTCATGCCGAGGAGTTTCATAAGATAGTTTAGAGAGGGAAGTATGTTCATGGATATAGCATCTAGAAGAAACTTTCCAAAATTAATGTTTAATAAACACTGAATGTATAATTTGGAAAATATTTCTAAAATAACTCATATGCATTTCTTACTACTGACTAAATATAAACATATGAATAATTATAATATACTAATATGTTACATATCTTAATGCATATATATTTATGCATGTATATACTGATTATTATAAGAGGATGTGTGTCATGCTTATTTTACGAAATGAGTGTCAAATCGGTTTGCATTTCCCAAGCTAGAGCTGGGGTATTATAAATTATTACATAAAATACACGATTCTCATAAATCAGTAGACCCATGAAGATCCGGGTTAGAATTTATCTTCAATACTCATGCCTGCATGGCCGCTGACAGGCTCGCTGACTTGGTTGATACATGCCATCGTATCCGTAGATCGATGCTCATACTGTTGATCACCGGATTGTCTAATCCAGGCTCGATTATTTACAGACCGCCGCCATATAACTGGAATATTGCTCAGTGCTGAGTAAAACTAAAATCACTCACTCACCATAAAGCAGTGTATATTTTACCCATGGTTTTTAATCCTCTTATGCTCCCCTATACAAAAATCATTTACAAGCGACTGGACCCATAGACAACGACAATTGCCAAATGACGTCAGCAACCTTCAGACATGACGTTGTTTCTGTGGTGACGTCATTCCTATTAAGGAATACAGTTCGCTCTACCCCCACGTATAGTGTAATAATATATTTTCGCCCTGCAATATAACAGTTAAAGTACGAGGGCGCTTGCTTTGATCTTTTAGCGAAGCATCTTAAACATATAATACGTCTCGAATGATGTCAACAACACAATAAGGATGACGTAACAATCCACTGGTGCACGTGAAGCGATAATTGCAGCTGTGGAGATCGAGTTTTACGAACTCGGCTATTTCGAAAGTAGGATTATTGTTATTGTCAAAAGTTAACCACATTACACCAGAATACTGGAAATGCAAAAAGAAATATGAAACAATCTTTAAGAAATCCATTTAGGTTTTATCATATTGTGAATAATGAGAATTATGAAGAATTGCCCAAATGCGTGAGTCAGCGTAATTATGCCATGAATAGATAGAACGTAATTATCTGTTGTTTCCGATAGCAAATGTTCATATCACATTATTCTGCCATTGATTCCTGAACGACTACAGCCGAACGCCGGGCGAGGTCTGACGACTACAGCAAGGTGTGCAGCTACGATCCTCGATCGTGAAGAGGACATCCGCAGTCGATTACCGAGGCGCCGGAGTGCATCAAACGTATTCCGGATGTTTGTTAACTAACATCTTTTTGTTTGAACCTCACAATCAAATATATATCGGAGCTATAACGCTCAATTATCACGAGCTCACTCCTTTGCAAATAAAGGGGTGAGGCAAGGAGTGGGTCTGAATTTCTGAGACGCATTTTATCTATGCAGTGTATGTTGTCTAATGCCGCTCACAGATGTATGACGAAGGCATATATATATACCAAAATCGGATCAGACAATCCAGTGGTTGATATAATGAGCATCGATCAACGCCCTTGGAATACGATGTCACGCTGTCAACCATTGCTTCAAATCTGGCCTTCCCATGCATAAGTCGATTAGTACGAAGGCTCTTATAGGCCAATTCTAATCCGGAGTCCCAGTCGGGTTACTTCATCTTCGCAAAGTGATCCTGCTTCAGAGTAGTTCAAAGGGACCGGTCGCAGTCAAATTTTAATTTAAATTGAACTAACATGCACATACCGTTTCTACAAAACTTCATGATATAATATACATTATGTATTTTTTTACAATGTTTAGTATTTAGACATATAGGAGGAAAGGCCACTCGTATAATTACTTTATAACATATAGCGTAACCAACAAAAACAATTGATCATGAAAATAACAACTACACTGGGGATATTGGTGAAACGACAACACGATAATACTGATGACATGGACGACACTGATGATGATACTGCCGCTGCTGATGACGACGACGATGATGATGATGAAAGTGATGATGATGACGACGATGATGATGATGATGATGATGACGACGACGATGATGATAGTGATGACGACGACGACGACGACGACGACGACGACGACGATGATGATGATGATGATGATGATGATGATGATGATGATGATGATGGTGATGACACGTCAGTTGAAATTATCGTGGTGAAGACACATAGTGGAAAATCGTGTAGAAGATGAAGATGATACCAATTGTTTTTGTTATTTAACGTGAATATAATGACAGCAGTTAAATACAATTTCATAACACTTTGATAATAATCTTTTATCTGGGGCGTTTTGAGGCAATAAATATCGAGAATAGAGAAACTGACAAATTAGATAGGTAGCATACGTTTGTGTAGGAATATCAAAGCTGTTTCATTGTAAACAAAACACAAACTGAAACTGCTGTCTTACATAGCTTGAAAATTACTCCACGAGACTTAAAACAGTAAATAAATTCATCAACCATTATTCTATTATTCTGTATCAGAGTGCATTGAGAATTTATCTCAATAAATTAACGGTGTGTGATAACGGTTAAATATCCCTTTAGAGATAATCCAGGCAAATCACCAACACTAAACTCAGTCTGCGTAAAAATATTTTACACTCCGCAAACCTGCTAAATCCTTCAAGGCTACAATATTTTGGAACAATATATATTTCCTGCGCTGTTTCCCTTTTTCAGAGCATTAATTCTTAGGGATGAAAAAAAAACCGATTACAGTTTAAATATATATACGTCTGAGATGTTATTTCAAATTTAGGGACCGTTCATAATTTATGGCTAAGGGGTGGGTGGGTGTGTGTGTGTGTGGGGGTGATGATGATTTTAAGGGGGTCACCCATTTTGTTCTGGGGAGGTAGGGGAGGGGCATTAATTTTGTACACGTTTCTAGGGGTCAGCAATTTTTGTACATAAAAATATTTAAACATTATGCTTTAAAAATATGGAAAGGGGAGGGGGTCATTGACTTTGTACATAAATTTTACGGGGGTCATTCACACTGTACATGCTTCTCCATAAAAATCATCATCACCCCCCAGCCATAAATTATGAACGGTCCCTTAATAAACCATATATTTGAATGCGAATTCTGAAAATGTATATCAGGAGGTGAAATTCTTCTAAAGCATGCGTGTAACCTGGCGTAATCAAATAAAGAAACTGACAACAAGCTGTCAGCTGGCATCCTCAACAATATATGCTTGGAACAAATCCTGTGTCTTCCACAGCAAATATATTATTATTCTTAAACAAACTTGCCTAATGAGCACGACACGAACAACATGGCGGATTAAGGTGTCATGCTGCTTGTTGTGGACGAATTAACCTGACGATCTGCAGAACGGTCAAGTAAGAGGAATGTACCCCTTGTTTTGTCATACTTGTTGGTCATATTTAATTACTGCACTCCAGTTAAACCTGAAATGGCAGTCTCATTACAAATCGCCAGCCCCAACAATAATATGGCGTCGATTCATTTTCTTTGAGAAAGATATTACTGTTCGGGTGAGACTGAGAGGCCGTTATATGTCCTTCCAGATGAAAAAAACCCTCGACATGTTGATATGATTTTATTATCATAAATCATGAGAGACTCGGGTTTAAACATATTGGGTTTGGGGATTTTTTAGATTTGCAACGCGTCTGTCTAAATAAGTGAGGTTTAGTGTCGTCCTTACTATCACCGGAGTCATAAATACACGATTAGGGCGCTGTCGCTGCCACAACGCCCGTGAAGAGCTTGTAATCACCAGGTGTGCTAGGAATAGCCAAATAGTTTTATCTACATAAACACGGCCAGACAAGCTGCGACACGACCGGGCCTGTTTGAAATACAAAATCTACACCGTTCGCGAATGTACACGAAGGACGTTAGAAATGTACTAAATATTACCAACGACGTTTCAACAGCCAGGCGAGATCGCATAGCCAAATGATCAGTTGATCAATGTTCTCCGGTGATAAGCAAACCTCTACAGGGCCCCCTATTTGAATAAATGCCAGGCATATCGTCACGGGAAATATTACGTAACGTGAAATCCACTGCATGCAAATAGCGGTCATGTACATGCTCTTTACGAATTCATTGAGTGTGTATCTGGTCAATTCGAATCGAGAGATGTAGTCGCGTCTAGATGGCGCATTTGGGACCATTGGCCATCTAAATGCTTAAAAATTCAATTTATTTCTCACTTTATGTCGCAGTGGCCGTATTTTTCACTTGACCTACATATCAGCCGGCAAGGTTCCAATTATAGATGATGTTTTCCGAACGACGCATCTCCGATACACGAACACATATTTAGTAAATTTGCCGACACGGGTTTTAATTTTAATCTGTACGATAAACTACAATATGCACATCGTTTTGGTAATTCATTCTTGTAAATTGTTCAATATTTGACTAAACATGTCAAATAAAGCAGACGCACCGACATTTATATGTTATAGGTTGTTTGCTGCTAGCATAATCCCTATCCATAATGTCTCATGAAACGACTGATTTGATTGGCTGAAGGTTGATTGACGAATGAAATTGGGGTGACTCCGCCTCTCTAGTGTTGGAAGATGGCGCCTCCCTCTAGCTTCCTCTGGCAGCCCAGTGATTCGATGGATATCTGAGTGGAACAGGGTGAGCCAACTTTTAACCGTATCTACCTCGTAAGTTGCTATGTGTGCTAGAGGTTCCAAATCTCTAGTACCTCAGGGACGTGAACTGAACCGCCATGTTGAGAGAGCCCGATATAAGGCGATGTGATCTGAGAGCAGTTACGATGTGAAATTCGTGAGACCCTCGGTTTAACTAGAAACGCGGGTGACGTATCTTTCTACCTCATGCTTCGCTCATGGCCGCTGCATTTTCCGACTCGTTCGGTGAGCAGCTGTCCTGTCCCCTATGTTTGAGCAGATTCGACGATCCACGAGTGTTACCATGTCTCCATACATTTTGCAAGAAGTGTTTGGAGACCGAGCTTCGCGATTCTGGGGGAGGGGGAGGGGGTGGCCTAGGCATAAACTTCGGTTGCCCCACCTGCCAACAAATGGTGTCCCTAAATTCAGCAGGGCTAGAAAGTCTCCCTTCCAACTTCTTCATCAACAACATCATCGATGTGATGGTATCCCACGAGGACGAGTTCGAAAATGGCGAGCAGGAGAGGGACAGGGGATTGACAAGATGGTGTAGTTCCTGTGATGAAGGAAGCCAAGCTTCATCTTTGTGCAAGAATTGTAATGAGTATTTATGTGATAATTGTGTCAAAGCTCACCAGCGTGTAAGGCTGACTAAAGATCATTACATTGAAAGACTGCCAAAGATGAGATACTCACCACCCTCTCTCTCTCATCCAGATCCGTCACCTACCCATTTTTCTGACAGTGGTCGGTCCCTTACCAGTTGTGATAGCCACGAACATGAAGTATTACGACTATTCTGTGACACCTGTGCCCTAGCCATCTGTAGGGAATGTACCATGTCAGAGCACATGGGTCACAGTTTTATCTACCTCCAAGATGCTATTGATAATTCCAAGACAATCACATTGAAACTTTTGGCAGATGCCAAGGCAGGGATCAAAGCATTAGAAGAAAGCATTCATTTAACCCAGGGAATGGCTGAACGAGTTGAGGTTCGTGCACAAGCAGTAGCAACAGAGGTTAGAGCAACAACACGTAGACATATGACTGCTTTGGAAGAGAGGGAGAGGGAATTACTGCGACGGGTAGAGAAAATACGCCAAGTCAAAGCCAAATCACTTCATTTACAAGTCGATGATTTGAAACATGGACTTTCATCACTCAGTCAAACTGTGGATGAAGTTGAAGTCCTACTGAATACGGGTACTGACATTGACATTTTGAAAACGAAGGATCGTATGGTTTCTGAAATACAGAACATGCGGCGCCTCAGGGGCCATATGCAGCCACATGAAGATGATAACATTTTATTCACTCCCCCAGATGCAGCCTTGTACAATGCCATCAGTAAAATGGGCTTTATTAGTAGCAGTGCTTATGCACCTAATTCCTGTGCAACCGGCGATGGCTTGAAACGAGCTTTAAAAGGAAAACTAGCTTTGTTCATGGTACACACCAAAGATCACCACGGAGAGGGGCGTGTGATGGGAGGGGACCCACTGGAGATCATTATACAAAGTCCAGAGGGAGCTCTTTATCGAACAGAGGTCATTGATCGTCAGAACGGTTCCTATGCTATCACGTATCGCCCACAAACAGAAGGGCAGCATATCGTCTCTGTCACAATCCGTGGCAAGCACATCAGGGAGAGTCCATTCACCGTCAACGTCAGGAGTGGACGCAACTACGCTGCGATCGGCCGTAGCATTTTCCAGTTCGGTGGTGAAGGAGACGGAGATGGGAAACTGTGTCGCCCTTGGGGTGTATGCTGCGACAGGGATGGTTATGTCATCGTTGCAGACCGTAGCAACAACAGAGTGCAAGTATTCACCCCAGACGGAGCATTCCATCACAAGTTCGGATCTCCGGGCTCCAGAAATGGCCAGTTTGACCGCCCGGCGGGTGTCTGTGTGGATCTTCAAGGACGTATAATCGTTGCAGATAAAGACAACCATCGTGTGCAGCTCTTCACATTTGATGGCAATTTCGTGTTGAAGTTTGGCGAAAAAGGTAATAAAAACGGGCAGTTCAACTATCCCTGGGATGTGGCAGTCAACTCTGAGGGTAAAATACTGGTGTCCGACACACGCAATCACCGTGTGCAGTTGTTCACTCCCGATGGCCAGTACCTGAACAAGTATGGTTTTGAGGGCCCACTCTGGAAGCACTTCGATTCCCCACGTGGTGTGTGTTTCAATAATGACGGACACATTGTTGTGACAGATTTCAACAACCATCGTCTACTCGTCATTCACTCTGATTTCCAGTCGGCACGCTTCCTCGGCACAGAGGGCAGTGGGAATGGCCAGTTCCTTCGTCCACAAGGGGTCGCTGTCGATCAGGAAGGAAACATCATCGTGGCAGATTCAAGGAATCACCGAATCCAAGTGTTCCAACCCAACGGCAACTTCCTGTGCAAGTACGGCACCCAGGGCTCCGGGCCAGGCCAAATGGATCGTCCATCAGGTCTTTGTGTCTCACCAGATGGTTATGTGATAGTTGTGGACTTTGGGAATAACCGTGTAGAGGTTTTTTGACGGCTTCACAGCGGAAGACCGTGAGGGTCAAGCCCGGCAGGGTCAAGCCCAGGAGGGTCAGCTGCATCCACTTGTGCTCAGGCATGCTTCTCAGGTGACTTAATCGTGAAGCCAAAGGCATCGTCAGCTCAGGGATTTTCTATATATACTTAGTTACAGAGTATCTGTCATTGTGCTTATATGAGTTTATCAGCTTTACCCAATATATTTGTGTAGAGGAAATTGTCAGCTCTTTCCACAGATCTTCCTACGTCACTCCATATCACAAATTGTGAATCGTCAGTTGAGATAACAAAATGACAAGTTTCATCAATTGAAAGAAAATCATTCGCACAAAAATATGTTGGGTAGACTTGATAAGTGAGTTATATTTATTAGCTACAGATTGTTTGCTATGTGTTTTCAGATGCCTTCTGGGTATCCAAGTGTCACACTGTGACTTTAATTCCTTCAATGTCTTTATTTTGTAAGACATTAATATTGCCTGTTAATGTTTTCGCATATAGAAATGTGTGCTGGGCCAATGTTTCCGCTCAGCTTAAAGCCATCAAAGTATAAACGTTAGTCTGAACTGCCCATCATTCCCAGGCCGAATGTCTAGATTGTGCAAGACTGTTTAAATGTCTGTTTAGCGCAAACCAGTCTACCTCTCGCTGTCACTGCTAGCTCTAAGCAATAGGAAGTGCCAGTGGCCGATTCCTCCAATAAATATCAAATTCTGATCTCACATCTTGGGCAGCGCAAGTCTGTGCTCACATCCAGCAGTTTTATTATACGATGTGAGTTGACTTATGATTTGAGGATAAGACACGGAAATCACTTCTAACTAATATCTGTGTTTTCATCAGCAAAATGAATGTTTTCAAGCTCCTTTATCACTGCTTTACAAACTGACTGTTAAATTTGCATTCAAAATCAACTCACAGGAGTTACCTCCCTTTACTAACAACCTCAGTAACCTTCAAGTTGTCAATGCATTGAAGTACTTGGGAGCCATTCATGCCTTTTCATAACATCTTAAGTGAAGAGACCAAATTTACAAGTCAAAAGATTTGCACATTTTTTCACAGATCATGATTCAAAATTAAACATGAAGATCCTTATTTTGATGATTATTATTTTTAATAAGAGATGCTAGTTAGTTAAATATGCCAGTGCTGGAAATTACAGTTTAACTGTCCAACATTTGCTGTTTCCTGGTCTGGTCTTCCAAGGTTTGGTCTTGCACAATGTTGACAGAGCCTTCAATCGTAGCTGCTCATTCTCTAGGTCAACCAAGCCAAAATAAGCGCTAAAGTGTTTATTTTGGTACTACCTCATGTCAGTCTGTGTTACTATGGTTACGGACAACAGAATTCAGTCTGTTATGCGGCACTTGCAGAAAACTGTATCTACTTACTTTCATTTTGATAGATATGAAAATTGTAATTATACATGAGAGCGCTGTAGTTATTTCAAATAATGAAGACGTGCAGACATTGATGTGAAATTTGAATTAATGCAGATATTTTGCCTTGGAAATGTTTTGGTGTGGTTTGGAAGCATATTGTAACCATGGTTTCAACTTTTTGGATGGTACCTCTCTCCTCAATGAGGAATATTTTATGTGTTCGAGTCTCTGTTAATTGTGACATTTAGTGTTCTGTACACTTAGTTTAATCAACATATTACAGTCTTTCATTTCAAAATTTCATCAAAATAGTTTAAAACAAATAATGTATTTTACAAGGTAATTTTCAAAGTAAACTTTAGTATCTGTTCTGATATTTGTTTTTAAAGAATGTTGTTTGAGTGATAAAAGTCAGATCTGTATTTTACATGATTGATATGTTGGACTTTGAAAGATATATGGCAGTGAAAGATATTCTGGACTTGTTATGGAGGAATATAAGATTTTCAGATGTTTTTACCATTTTGTTCAATTGTCTCTAAATTTCTAAACCTTTGAAATTCAGCCTAATAATAATTGTTATTCACTTCTTTATGGAGGAATTTAAGATTTTCAGATGTTTTTACCATTTTGTTCAATTGTCTCTAAATTTCTAAACCTTTGAAATTCAGCCTAATAATAATTTTTATTCACTTCTTTATGGAGGAATATAAGATTTTCAGATGTTTTTACCATTTTGTTCAATTGTCTTTAAATTTCTAAACCTTTGAAATTCAGCCTAATAATAATTGTTATTCACTTCTTTATGCCCTTCTGAATTGGTGTTCCAACTTCATACTGGTCAGTCTTTGGTCAGTTGCAGGAAGAAGTCTTGAGTAGGATTATTCAAAATATGGAATTGGTCTTTCATGGATTGATTTGTGATAATTAGAGACATTATAGTCCAATGCAGACTAAACTAAAATGCTTTACTCTGGGATTTAGCTTCACTTGTTCCGAGTCTGGTATTTGGACGTAACTATGCAGCAAGTATGACATTCCCAAATTGGATTTAAAATGTTCCCAAACAATGTTAATATATTTATATCTAATGTAATGGCTTGGACTCAGTATTCCACTGATGTCAGAACAAAGGAAAGAACAAGAGGAGTTAAAGCATAGTCCTACATTATACATAGTGTTAAAGCTTCTCAGAATGTAAGAAAATAGGAATTTTTAACAAAATAACCCTTTTTTCCACTTTGCTTGCCAAGGGCTCTCAGTTTTGAATCCCAGTTAAATCCTTTCTGACAGAAAAATATAAAAATGATTTTGTTTAATCTTCAGTCGTGGTTTGCAAACTTTATTGATTTACTGATAGTGTTAACTAATGTAATTTATTGAAATTGTTTTGTTTGGAATTTCTTTCACCAATTTCTAAGGAAATCCATATCGGCCTCAGTGTAATATTTTGATAAGTTCTTATGTTTATAGCAAGTTTTATTAGATTTTGTTTCTTCCTTCACACTTTAAATTTATGTGTGAAAGCATGATTGCTGGATGAGACATTGCTAAAATGTAAAGAGAGTTTGGTGAATCATTCTTCCTGTTGGGAATTATTTAATTCAAAGCATTCAAACTCTAACTGCTTGAGTTCATACATTTTTGTGAACATGATTAGGTACCACATTGATCTATTTTTTACCATAATGATTAACTTGTTAATTTCAAAATTGATAATCCTGTCAAATTAGCATTTGAATACTATTTAATTTTCATCTCAAAAAGCCCAACCTCGTCATTGGTTGTCAGGAAATCAGTATTTTTCAGCCACATTTGAAACAATTTGGGCCACATTTTCAAACTTCAATATGGTTTTATTTCAGTCATTAAGTTGTTTGAGTTCCAACAATCTGATTCCTGAACCAGATCATCAAGGAATTGTCTCCTAACTCAGCAAAGAACACAAACATTAATATCCCCAGTTAACATTCAGGGCTCATTGGCCTCCATCTTGGGATCTGCAACCTCTGACAAGGATGAAAGATGGAGAACAACCTTCCTTTGATCTAGCCAGCTTGAGAAAGAGCATTTGTTACATCACTTTATCTAAGCGGACCTAATTGAGTTTGAGATGGCCACAGTTTGATTTAATTAGGGGCCTCTCCTTTCTTTCTTGACATCCAATTGAAGTGTCATTGGGGGCCCGGGGCATCTGTGTAGCTTATGTAACGGGGTAATAATGTATTGGGACAGAGTGCCTGTTTTCTCTTTATGGGCCCTTGGTGGAAGGGTGCTTGGCCAAGCCATCAGTCTTAACTACAGGATTAAAGGCAATATATGCCTTTGTATGCCTCTGTATGTGGTTGAAATCCCAGATTAAAGGCCTCTAATTTGAGCCTCACTTGTTTGGTGTGGGCTGTATTCATTAGAATTCCCAACAAGGAAATTTGTCAGCTTTTGTTTTTTCCGGTCAATCCATCTAATTTTTCATGATTTTTTTTTGTCAGTTTTGAATGGAGGTGTTGAATTACAAAGGTCTTTGTTTTTTAAAAAAAATAATGATACGGTCTGCTTTAATCACAGAAATTAACAAAGGGATAATGGAGATTAGGGTTGCTGCTTGTACAGAACATTAAATGTCATGGTGTAGGAACCCTATTAATGACAAAACAAATATACCTCATTATCGTGTGGCATTTCATATTTGCATTACAAACAACCATGTGTACAGCTTATTTGTGTGTTGTGTGTGGAGGCAGTGCTTGGATTATTTTGATACACTATACACCTGACTAGCCTTGAGAAGGCGTAAAACTGGAGTTATTTTCACACAATATTTATACCTGTGAAATGGGTTTTGTTGACGCTAGTCGAACTGGTAAATACTGTCACTGCTTGTTGATGTTAATAAATTAGTACTTTGACCTGTATAACTGCGCACTGTGATTCAACATTGCAAAAATTAATGGGGAGATATATTAAGAAGCTTCTTTTTAGAAAAAAAATATTTAAAAAAAACCTGTAGATTTTATGTTATGATTTCATGTAAATTATAAATGACTACCTCAGTTACAAGTTGATATTTATGGTTTAGTGAAGCTTTTATCTGCCTTGCACCGTCTCATATCCAATACTGCTTCAGCTCCTATGCTCTGTTTGTTAAGAACAAACAAGCCTGTTCCATATTGTATGCTTTCTTGTATATGGACTAGGCTAAAGTGATATTATTCCTGTATTACATAGCTCATTCTTTCATTCTTTCAGAAAGTCGGAAGATGAAATCAGCTCGTTATTATTGGTAAATTTATGTTGAAACATGTTTAACATGTAAAACAAGTGACATTGAAAACAGTGAGTTTTAATCAAGATTTATACAATGGTACCTCAAGATTCTTTGGCCACTGCCATCTAGATAGCAAAACTTTTGTATATAGATATTGTAGCTTTTTGCATTGTGTAGGTAGGTCCAAAAAATTATTAACTATTCAGGTATATGCTTTGATAAGACCTGTTTCATATATAGGGTTGTCCTCACTGAAATGAAGATATTGCGCTTTATATATTTGGCTTTTGCCTCGTGACCATTTCTACCTCACTAACTGACGGGATGGGGGTGGATGGGGAGGGGTGAGTCTGAGGGGGTGGGTCATAGACCGCTGTTAGCATAGTGCGAGTTGTTGGCCAGCGCTGTCCCTATGCAAGTATATTGTTTAGCTTTCTCGGGCTCTGGGTTTGGGCGAGAGAGGTTGCCCTGTACATTGTACAGTCGCCTGTTTTGTTGAGTGTCAGGGATAGTGGGTCCACGTTTTGTGCATATATGTTAATGTAGATTAGGATTTGCTGTGTTCTGCAGAGGCTGTGCTGATCTCAAAGAGAGAGAATTTGGTTATTGTTGACCTTGTTACCATGGTTACCTCAATTACTTGACCTTGTTGCTATGGTTACCTCAACTTTTGCATCTGAAGTCCTGAAAGGCAAACTTCAAATGAATGGCATTTGTTGATTGTGACCGTGAATACCTCAAAGGTGTGTCTCTTCACTATTCAACATTAGGTATAGTCTGTTGCCTCCACCATATGTACTCTTTATGCTGGTCTTTCCAGGCATCAGTTGTTTAAACTTCCAGTCTTTAATGTACTTTTGGTTGATTTTCAAAAGGAAAAACATTTAACTTCATATTTTATATTTTTGGTCAAAGACACAATTTTTTCATTATTTTATGTGCAAGTTTTTTTCAAGTTATGCTTATTCAGCAAATTACTTTGTAAAGTTCACATTGAACTTTGCATTGTTTACCTTGAACTTTGTAACATTCACCCTGTACTTTGTACCATTTACCTTGAACTTTGTAACGTTTACCTTGAAGACTAAAAGGTTAGCATTCTCCGCCTAGATCGCACCAATCTACCTTCACGAACCAGCCAGTAATTCCCAGACACTGAATTGTTTCTATAACGCCAACTGCTTTTGTTGACCTGCCGTTGATGTGATTACTGTTAAAGCTTGGTGCCTCCTAACCTGGCTCAATATTTCATAATACTTTATTAAGGATCTGCTACCTCCTCGTCAGCCAGTATCAGGCTTTCCTTGTGTGTTTGAATTTCGCTACTCAGGATAGTCATAACTCATATACTCAAGTCGGACGATGTACCTCTGTGTTGGTTGATGACGTGCGCCTGCATCTTCACGTCCCTGCCACTTCTCGTCACGGATTGTCACTTACATCTGTGGTCAGGTATATTAGTGTTGTACGTCCTTTTCATTTAGTGGCATGTATTCTTATAATGTATAGGTTTAACACTGGAGTAAGGCAATGGTGCGTCAAGGATTGGTTTCATTATGCTGTTCGATTTGAACTACTGAGAAGTAAAACCGTTCTTCAGTATTTTAAAGTTTGTGAACCAATAGTTGATGTATCATTGACCTTGAAGAAAAATGCCTTGTATTTTAGCAATTTGGTAATAGATGTCATGGTGTGTGAACTATTTCGAGATGTTCCATGGGGTTTCTATTGTGACAACTTCTTGTAGTACAAATACACGCTATCGAAACTGTGTCGTATTGACATTGCGTCGACACAGAGTAGCTTATTGATAAGTGGCTTATAAACTGTTAGCAGACTCAGTAGCGTTGTCTTGTTTTCTCTCCATTTAGCTCCCGCTTTGGAACCTCGAAATTAGATTTTCATTCGAAAATAAGCGGTTGCAGCATTATTATATTGTAATTTGGTGAACAGTCTGTATGCATCCGCATTGATTTGTCTGTGAATTAAGTATGGAATAATTCCGTGACAACCATCATCTTTGTCGCCATGGTAACTGTCTATGTTATGTAATCATACGAACGGCACTGCACATTGTCAAATGCAGACAAGTCTTGAAAAATTGATAATGCAATTTTCTTACATCGAATTACAATGTTAGACCACTAACTCTAATAGCAATTTTGTAGTGAAGACGCTGTCCAATATCTTGTTAAGTTTCCCAGTAAGTTGTCTGACTACTTCATGATGGAGACATAATCTGCTCACAGGCAGCTAAATGGCAGAGCCGTGTTTTCAATATGGCCAATGTCAGGGCAGGTTACTGGTAGAAGAAAGACAACAAGC